AGAATTATTGGGAATTGATTATGGCAATTAATGGTTATTATTTGTATGTGGTGCTCATTTATTCATTTAAGTAATGTTTTTAAATAAACTTGAGATCATTTTTAAATGTCACTGCTTTATTTTAAATTATGTATCTATGTTATGTTAAAATTGAGACCGACCTTTTTAAATGCTTTTCTAAACCTTGTATGGGTTTGGGAGAATTTTTCTACAAAGCTTCGTGGTCATCCCCTACCGCTAACATTTTTCAGATTACTCGCTTGAGGAGGAGGACGTAAGGGTCGAGGAGCCCGCTACTTGGAAGACTCCACGGGACGGGAGTGTGGATCCCTAGGTGGACGCATAGAGTGACCTCCTTTCCTTTTGTACTAGACTAGGACATTTTTTTGGAACATTGTGTAGTTTAGCTTCTTTTGTTTATTCCACTGCGCTTCCTTAATTAATTTTTGAGATGTAATAGCCATGACTTGGGCTTATTCTTTTGGATAATGTTGTAAATATTCGTGGATGACAAATGAAGTCTTGTTTCTTAAGGGATTATATTAGTGCTCTCATGCTATGAATGGTTTTAGAATGTAATGTCATCCAGGGTGTGTTTTGGGGTGTTACATTTTTTGATTCTTTTGTAAAGTCTCTTGGCTTCTTTTATTCATTTTGGGTTAAAGTCTTGTTAAGGCTGGGTCTATCTGCATTTTATTCCATTGTAAATAATTTTTGAGTAATAAAATAAATTGTTGATTTGTTTGCAAAAAAAAAAATATTTGCATCAAAGAGTAGAAGCTTACACATGGGTGATTAAAAAATCCATAGTAGTGCACTCCAAGCTTACAATTGGGTTCATCATGTCTTTAGATCATTGGTATTCCATGGTTACCTTTTCATTTTTGTAAATTTATGTAAATATTAGATAAATTATCACTAAAAATGTATCATGGGATAACCATTGACGTTTTTAACAAAATACATGTAAACACACACACACACACACACACACACACACATATATATATATATATATATTTGATTATGAAGGGCATATATTGTAATTGTGATACAAATAAATATTTTTTTAATTGACCATCCAAACACAATTTTTGTAAAATCATTTTTATTTAAGTACTTTTTTTAATGAGCTCCAAACGATGCTTTTTAATAAACTATTTTTTAAAAAATAATTATTCAAGAAATACTTTTAAATTCATTAAGTCATCCCAAACACTGCCCATGGTGTGAGTGATGAAGTCACTGTTGGGAGGGGTGTAGGGGTGTCCATAGGCTAGGTTACCCATGGGTCCTGTTACCCGGCCAAAAAAAAAAAAGCCCAATACCCGATAAGTCCGATAATTGGCTCGTCCGAGCCCGAGCCCGATATTCTTTAAGAAAAGGCTTGAGTTTACCTCTAAACCCATTACCCAGCCCGAAAACCGAAGTCTGACATAATAACCTGCCCACATACCCATCCCAAAGCCCGGCCCAGCCCAATAACCCGCCCATTAGAATTTTGTGATAATTTGATAGGTGAGATTGAAAGTTAGGAGAGTCAAATATAAATGTAGCCATTGAAAGTTAGGTAAGCCATTGAAAGTTGGGTGTGATGTGTGGACTCTGTGTGTGTGTATTTCTTTGTGTTATAATCGAATTTTTTATTTTTTTCAAATTTAAACTACTGCCCCCCACATCAAATTTGAATTGTTGATTGGTGAGCACCACATACACGTCAAATTTAAATGGCTACAGGGCTCCTATGTGACTGTCTCAATTGTGTATTGTCTTTTCCATTTGTAAGTTTGTTACTGTGACTACCAGCGGCTGAGAGCTTGAAACAGTTATAACTCATAAATTTTTTTCTTTCTCTTGATATAATCAACGGTCATTTTTTAATATATAATTTATAAATACATTTGCTCTTAGCTCACAACTTCAGAAGTCACAACTCTCATTTGCTATCAACTCAGTGGCCGAAACTCTCATTTGCTCTCAACTCACAAGTCACAATTGTCAAGTGGTCTCATTTGGTGAGAAAGTTTTTTTACATAATTTAAGTATTTATTTTATTTTTATAGTTTAATTTACGTAATGACTTCATCTCATTCACAAAATATTTTTTATAACGAAATTCTTGAGTCTAATGATAATGAGAACATCAACGAGGGTGAAGGGGATGATCTATTTTCAACTCCTAAGATGGATTCTACTGAGAATGTACCATCTAATAAAAGAAAAAAGTCCAAGGTCTGGGATCATTTTGAGAAAATTCAAATTAAGAATTCTAATGGGGTCATTACATTAGAAAAAAGGCTATATGTAATTATTGTAAAAAAGATTTTGTTGGAGGCTCTAAAAATGGAACTAGTCACTTAACTAGACGTCTAAATATATGCTTATTAAGAGGTCAAACTGATATTAGACAAACAATGTTATTACAATCTGCTCGCACCGGTACACTAAGCACTTTTAGTTATGAATCTGAATCTGCTAGAAAACAATTGTTAGATGGATTGTTATAAGAAATCTTTCATTTGTTCTTGTAGACGATGCTGAATTTGAAAGAATGTTACAAAGTGGTTTTCATCCTTCCTTCCGAAAGTTTTCTCGTCAAACATGTTAAAGAGATGTTATTAAATATTATATACAAGAAAACAATAATTTAATTGTTTATTTTGGTAATCTTAAAAGTAAAATTTGTTTGACTTATGATATTTGGACTTCTTGCCAATAATTAGGATATTTATGTATAATTGCTCATTTTATTGATGATAATTAGGTTATGCAAAAAAGAATTATTACTTTTACAAGGATTGAAGATAATCATAGTGCACAAGTTATTTTTGAAAATTATTTATAATCAGTTACAAATTTATTGTATTCAAGACAAGATTTTTACTATTACTTTAGAAAATGCAACAATAATAGTGAGCCTGTAAGTCATTTAAAATGTTATTTAACTTTACCATATGAAGTTAGTTTTTTTTATATGAGATGTATGTGTCATATCATAAATTTCATAGTACAAAGTGATCTCCATGATATTAGATGTATAATCAATAAAATTAGACATATTATTTATCATATAATAGGTTCTGAAAATAGACTTAGGACATTTAGAAATATGTGTAAAAAGAATAATTTAAAATACGAAAAAATATCATATGATGTACAACATAAGTGGAACTCCACCTATAAAATGCTAGATGTGACAATTAAATATAAAACTGCCTTAAATGACTATGTTGGTATAAATACCACCAGTTCATTATCGCATCCCACCGAAGAGGAATGAGATGTCACTGATAAAATGAAAGATTTTTTGAAAGTTTTTTATGAGTCAACTATGACTTTATTTGGTAATTATTATCCAACTATTACACTTGCCTAAGTTCATATAGTTAGTATCAGTGATATTTTTGAACTATATTGTAATGAACCCGAATTTTCTACTATTTTACATAATATGCAATTTAAATTTAATAAATATTTTTCACCACTTCTTATACTTATTGATTTTGGTATGTTAATTGACCTTCGATTTAAAGAATTTGACCTTAAAAGTGTTTTTATGTCTTTATATGGTCACTTAAATGATGAGCACATGAACCACATGGATAAACTAAAATCTTATTTTGAATTTTTTTTTAATGAATATAGTGTAACATTTGAGAATAATGGTACACTTAATCCCCCCTCAACTTCTAGTAATATTGTTGATAGTAGAAAAGGTAAAGCTAAAACATCTATGCTAGCTTCAATTTTGAACAGAGGAGGTATGTCAACATCTAGGGGGTTAACTGAACTTCAATAATATTACAATGCTCTAATGATAAGTGTTGAAGATCCTAATTTTAATATTTTGGCCTGGTGGAAAGGATATGAGAGTAGGTTTTCAATTTTTTTCACCGTAGCTTGTGATATACTAACAGTTCTTATGTCAACTGTAGTATCCGAATCTGCTTTTAGTACAAGTGGACGTGTCATTGATGAGCATAAGAATTGCTTGGATAAAAAGACAGTGGAAGCCCTTATGTGTCTTCAAGATTGGTTTGCTGCTGAAGCAAGAGATCAAAATATGGAAATAAATCTCCCAATCCTAGAATTTGAATTTTTAGAAATTTAGATATTAAAATTGATGTATTTTTTTCATGTATTAAATATTCTAGTTTTTCATGTACAAAAACTTTAAATGGGTAGAATTGTGCAAATGATAAATAGGTGGGTAGGTGCCAACCTAGTTGAGATGTACTCATTCTATAGTGATGCAATTTCTCTTCTATTCATAAATAAAATTATTCATTATTTAATTTTTGTCTATTTTTATTTTGACTATACTTTTAATTCAAAAATATAATTTACAAAAAAATTAAATAAAATTATATATTTTTTTAATAGGGCCCAAGAAACCCGACTAAAATAGGCCCAACAAGGCCCCGCAAAGTCCGCCCAATAGGTGATGGGTTGGGCTGCACTGTGGGCAGCTACTCCTACTCGAAGCCCGACTTGGTCCACTATTTGCCCGAGTACGGGCTTAGGCCTACATTACTTAAGCTCACCCTAAAAAAAAATTTGTGGGTCAAGCCCGGCCCATGGACAACCCTAGAGGGGTGGTTGGTGAGTCTGCTTTGCCAACAGGTGAGGGTGGAGCTAGGGTTGCTGATGGGAGGAGGGTAGAGGGTGAATTTTTTTTTTCATTTAAAAAAAAAAGAGAAATTAAAGGGTCACATTGTCTTTTAAACTAATTCCAAGTCATGTGATAATCATGTGATCAATTTCTGTAAATTTTTGACGGTCCAAAGCTAGGGACATAAGTTAATTGAGAAAATGTTCAAATCATAAGGGGCAATTTGTTGAAATTGAAACTGAAGGAGTTAATTGCAAAATTATCATAAGTTGAAAGGGACAATTTGTAATCAACCCTAAAAAAATCTGGAACCACTAGCCAAGGGTTTTGGATTCTGGATCTGGACATCGGATCCGCGGGAAACTGGTGTAACCTAAAAGCAGCAATTTCTGAGTTTGGCGCCAGCCGACCCCCAAAATTTCTTAAAATTCATTTCTGTCGCCAACTCGATTCAAAATTTATGAATATCTCCCGCCACAAACAGTTTGAGATACAGTCAAAAGCATAAAAAAAAGGGTATAGTACACATTACACAAGTAATACAGAACTCTTTCCTTTGCTTGCGTTCATAGTCATACACCGCCAACTAAACAATATAATTGTAGCAATGGCCGTTGCTTCAAGTCCTAGTCCCAAACAGATAGCATCTGAACAGAAGAAGAAGAAGAAGAATTCTCGACAGCAATCCGATGATGAAGGTATTGCTTCCCCCAGAAAGCGCAGCAAGTGCCCGGGAGTTCGTGTCGTCGGAGGCCGAATCTACGATTCCCAGAATGGGAAATCTTGCCATCAGGTGTTTTGTACGGCTCCAATAATTCCTTTTGTTATTTTCTGTTTGGTTGATGGGAAACCCAAAAGAAAATGAAGAGAAATTAGGACATCAATGCTACGTTTTACTCTGTTATTACTTGATATAGATTTTCGACGGATAGTTTCAGGCTTCTGTTTTATGGGTAACCAAATGGTACATGATTCAGAAAATACATATTCGCTCATTGAACCCTTTTTGTTATTCTCTGCTTGGTTAGGAAACAAGGAATAATGGGTTTTACAAATTTTCAATGCTAAGTCTAAGTGATTGGTTGGTCAGGTTTGTCTGTCTTCTTAAATTGTGTAACAAATTGATGAAAATTCTACGATTCATGGTCCATTTGTGATCTACTTATACATTTTTTCCGCAACAAATGGTGCATATAGTGGAACAAATACTAAATCTAAGCAGCTGGAATGGATCATACACAACCTGTTATAATGCAGGACACTGGGGGAAAATGAAGGAACTAGAATTTGGCACTTCATGTTTCTTTCCGTGTATGAAGTCGATGAATAATTCTCACTAATTAAGCAATAAGAATGCCTGAGGGTTAGAGGAGATAGAGGGTTTGTTGTATGGATTATGAACTCTCATTATTCTAATAACCCAGAATTTACATTATTATTCCCATGAGCAAAACTGTCTAATCATGAGTTGGGGAAAACAAGTGAATTTTTGATCTTATGTGTAACCTTCACTGTTTTACTGAAGTAGAAAGTGTGTATTCCTTCAAGCCATGTTTCTGTCTTTAGGTACAGCTGATTTGAGTTTTGAACTTGTTGATTCAATTTGAAATAATGTAGCCACACATCTTTGTTTGTATATATACCCATATTTGGTGATTAGAAAACTGAAGAAAATGGGAAAAATGATATATTGAACAAACTCTTGAATGAAACTATTGAGGATCATGATGAATTTACTTATCTTGCTCTGCTAAAACGGGAAAGTAGCTGGTATCAGCTCATCCTATTTCTAAGTTATTCTGTTATTCGGTCCTAGTTTTGAAATAATTTCTAATTATACCAGCATTTATTTTCTGGCGTTTAATCAGTTCATTATAATGAAGCCTTAAATTACTTTTGCATTACTGATTTGATCTTTAGCCCCTTGCCGCTTCTCATAATTGAACCAAATGTTTTGAAGTGTCGTCAAAAAACCATGGACTTCGTTGCTGTCTGCAAGAATCAGAAAAAGAACAAGCCATGTACTATTAAGTTTTGTCACAAGTGCCTGTTGAACAGGTTTGATATGGTGTTTTACCTCTTAGAATATCATTCAGATCTTTTTTTTTCCCACTTTTGTGGTGGTCTTATATGTCAAGTTATTAAATTCTTGTGGTTAATCATGAACCAGATATGGAGAGAAGGCAGAAGAAGTGGCAAGCTTGGGGGATTGGAGGTGCCCAAAGTGCAGAGGCATCTGCAATTGCAGTTTCTGCATGTAAGTTTTTGCATTGCAAACTTCTTTTTAGATTGGTGTTATGATTAGTTTCTGATGGTTCAAAATCTATGGAATATTTTAGGAAGAAAAGAGGTCACCAACCCACCGGTCTACTTGCGCATACAGCCAAGGCAATTGGGTTTTCCTCTGTTTCAGAAATGCTGCATCTTGAAGACCCTGAAAATTTTGACATTGCCAAGATCGTTCAAGACAATGGTTCTTTGCCAAAAAAAAAGCTGCTTCAGAAAAGGTGTCATAGGAATTTGTGTAATGGGCGGTTATTTAATTTCTACAATTTTTTATTATCTTACTTGTCCCTTGTGCTGTTAAATAATACTCTGAATTTTAACAGGAGTCAATGATTGTTTCCCCTAGAAAGCGGGGGAAGGAAAACTCTTTTGATGGAAAGACAGGTTCTAACTCGCAGTCTATGCCATTAACAAGAAAACTTGTTGAGAAGAATCTTAAGAAAATGAAGCCAGAAGGATTTAGGGAAATGCATGATGACAGTGGGATTAATGATTCTTTGATGAAGGGAATTAGCTCTCACACTAAAGACAAGAATTCCAAAAAAACAAAGAGGGAAGGGTTAAGGGAGATGCATGATGGCAAGGAGGATAAGGGTACCTTGGTGAAGAAGGGTAGTCCACACACTGGTGATAAAAAGCTGAAAAAAATGAAGCATGAAGAATTAAAGGATGGCACCATGGAAGATGGTGCTTTGTGGAAGAAAACTAGCCCTAGAAAGCCTCAGATCCATAATGGAATCTCTAATAAGGAGGTGAAAAATACTGGAAATATTGATGGCGTTCTACAAGAGGGAAAGAATTTTAAGGCAATAGTTACTAAGAAAGGTTCCTCAGATGCCTTTGGAAACGAAAAGACGAAAAAAAAAGGAGATAATGAAACACAAAAAGATGCGGGGGTGATTGACAGCACGAATAATGATGATGGAGCCCAGCCCAAGCCAGTTCTTGAATTGCACAAAGTTAACAGGAATGGTTTGAAATCACAAAACAAATGCCTTTATGCTGCTGTATCCTTGCCCCAGGGAACTGAGTTGACAACTGTAGCTGGTGTTGACTTACAGCCACAAGATGTTGGTGATGCCCTGCAATTCTTGGAGTTCTGTGCTGCTTTTGGAAAGGCAAGTTAACGTTTGCAATGGTGTCATAGCAAATTTTAGCATCTTTTTAAAAGTATGGCTGATTCATGTTTAGAGCACTTTATGGATAGTTTTGAGTTTTGGTATGTGCTATATTGTTTCTGGTATCTGATATTTTGTTGTCCATAGGTGGCTTCTAGTTGAGTTCAATAATGAAGTAAATAGGCATTGAGTTTGATGTTGGTTGTGCTTGTGTTTTTGAAGGCCCCCCCGTGCCCCCGCCCAGCCGCCGGGCGGGGGGGTGGGGGAGAAGTGTTGTCATGGGTAGCTTTATGTAATCTTGAACAAGAGGAGTGATGCAGATTAATAAAGTATTTGCAATTGTTATTTATCCTTCATCTACATTTAGATTTCTATGTAATAATTGCTCTAAAGGCCACCACTTCTTTCTGATCAGATTTATTTGTTGCTTGGGGCTCTTGTCATTCTTAGTTGTGTGGATATGTTTTATTAGTACTTGAATTTTCATTCATCATCAACAGATTCTTAACATGAAGAAAGGACAACCAGCTCTTGTACTTCGAGAATTAATACATGGACGAATTGGGCGCAGGGAAAAATATTCTATAATGGTCCAGTTTCATATCCAGTTGTTGTCTGTTATCCAAACGGAGTCAGGAGAAAAGTATAGCTGTTTGCTCTAGTACATTTGTGAATAAGAGATGTGTCTTTTGTTGATTGATAATATATTAACTGATTCACTTTGCAATTTATTTAGGTCTCCAATGTTAAGTCCCACTTATGGCAAAAATTCTTGGCTGTACGCTCTCAAGGAATGTGTCTCTGAATCCCAGTGTGTATTGAGTTCACTGCCCTTGGATTGTTTGGATAGAGGGGCTGATGGATATTATGCTTTAGATTCTTCAAAAAGGCTTAGACTTCTAAATTTTCTATGTGATGAAGTTCTTGGAACAGCGTAAGTTAATAGGATATTTGCAGATTTTTTTTTTTAATTTTCTGAAATATAATTTTTCTTTGTTTCCTCTTGGTTTATGATGCATACATTTTTCTTACAGAAAAATAAGAAATTGGATCGATGATCAAAATTCAAAATTTGTAGAAAAGGCGAAGGAAGCAAAGGAAAAACTTCTTGCTGCAAAAGATAAGGTAACAAATAGTATCAAGCATCTGTCTTAGAGTCATAAGTCCAATGTTGTTTTGGAAGGGCTTTCAGATTGAACAACCATTATATTGTGTAGGAGAAGTGCTTGAAGCAGAAAATGCGGGATGAGATTGCTGAAGCAATTATAGCAAAGAACGGTGCTCCTCTTTCCATTTCAGAGCACGAAGCTATTATTTCTCGAATTAAATCTGAAGCAGCTCAAGCGCATGCAGAAATGCTGGAATCAAAGGGCATGGTACCCAAGAGTATGTTTGAAAATTTTATGTGCATTTGAATATTAAATTTCCAAGATATTGGCAGCAAGGGGGTGGAATCCAGCTAATTATTGTGTTGTTTGAGGTTCTGTAGAAATTTTTTCAGATAATGTAGCCTGTCAAATCTAGATAAACATAGTTTTGGAAGAGCTTGGAGTTGTTCTTGAGCCAGATTGAGCTTATTATTTTTTGAACTCGCAGATTTGAGCTTGTTAAATATTCTAATCTTGTGCTCTTGCAGGGTTAGAATTAAGTTGTCATCTTCTGTAGAATGTATCAGGGCGAGTCCCACATTGATAAAATGACATAGTATATGTAAAATGAAGATATTTTGCCTCTCAACCTTAAGTGTTCAAAAGGAATTATGTTAGGGTTTACAATATTAGTTTGCAGGTTATGAGTCAGTAAAATCAGCAGTCTCTCAATCTTATGTAAGTTGCAAAATTATAAATTCTCTTTTCGAAGTTCATAAGAGCTGTCTTTTAGTAGAGTTCTTAAAAAAAAACCACTTCATGGTGGTTGGACACTGGTTTACATTACATTGATTTGATGCTACAGTTCCAAAAGCTTTCACCTATTTTTCTTTTCCCTTTTTCAAAAGAACAACTCCATGGTGTCTATCCAATGTGGCAAATAGAGTTATCTTACTATTTTTACTAATAATTACATAGGATTGTTTTTACTTTGTGTAACAATGATGGGAAATAAATCTCTGTTGTTTGTTATTATCCTGATTGGCATGAAGGTTGTGTTGATGCACACAATGAGATTTTGGGACTTTGAACGTCTGGGCCAGAAATCTGTCCACATATAATGGTGCCCTCATGCACATCACTTTGCCTAATACTGTATCATCCAATCAGTCAAGGGAATTCCAATTAATAGAGTTTGTTCAGTCCATTAACAAATATTTTTCTTCCCAAAAGTGATATTAACACTTTTGATATCTCATGTTGAGTTGATTTTGTTTGGATCCAAATTCTTTACTCTTGTCTTCTTTTTTTCTTTTTTCCCAATTGTCAAAAGTTTGTCTCCTCGGCCCTCAAAATTGCAAGTACATACGCATGACGATAATTCTAAGTTTGTGGGACTTTGCATGTGATTTTTTTGTAGACAACCGAAAATCTGATGCTGTTAGAACAGAACCTATGCTTCTGGACATTAATGGGCAGGCGTATTGGAGACTAAAAGGCTATTCTGATATTTTACTGCAAGGTTACTCAACAGCTACTTTGAGAATTCAGATATTATGCAGTCTCAGTTTGAAGTGCATTTTGTTAAACTTTTATAGGATTTAACTGAGTTTGAAAGCTGTTCAATGCATAGATGTGGGAAGAGGGGATTGTGTTGCCTTGGATGAAAGATGGTTTGCTTTTGAAGTTGAACAGGAAAAAGTGATTGAAACAATCATTAACTCGAGGTATGTGCAACTATTGTTTCACTTATAAGGTCAACTGTTTCGTATGTCAGGACATATTCTTTGGTAAAATTCCATTGGATCTAGGTCACTAGATGATGATTACCATGTCCAAATGATTAAGTGACATATTTCAAATTGGTTTCTTTCAACCTCTTTTTTAGGTTTAACAAAGGTGCTGAACTTTCTCCAAATTGGTTCTTTCATTTTTTGGGAGATGTGAAATTCCTATTTCTGGTTTACTGTATTTTGGTTGTACTTGGGAGAAAATATCATGTGGAGAAAAAATAATACTCCTGCATATTCTGTTTAAAAGCAAAATTTATTTGTGGATTTGAGTGAAATGAACAACTGATAAACCAAAGAGACTTACCTCTGAAGAAGTGAAGGCAGATAATAGTCCTTTGGTGGCTACTTTAAACTCATCTGAACAAGCTATTTATAATGATTCATCTGTATGGTATGATTTTGCCTGCTATCCTTCACAGTGATTTCCTTAACTCTCACTAATCATTGGAAATAAGATAATGAAATTCTGGCTGCTCAAAGAAGAAAATTAAAGACATTAGCAACTAAACCAAAGCAAACTTTGTTGGAATGCCATGATATTCCTAGAGTCACTTCCCAAATTTTACAAGTAAACTGTTAACTCAGAATTATCTATCAAGTCATTCATTCACACCTTAAGTAACTACAAACCTGGATTGACCTACGAATTGTGGTGTGACTGCGGGAAAGACAAATGATATCTGTTATGGAAGGTATTTTAGAGTTGCTTAAAGTCTTGATTTAGTTGGTTGTTAATTTTTGCTTTTTGAAACTTTCACCTCTGGTTGTAGGAAAAGAAGGCTAAGGCCCTGGACAGTTCCTGACATACTTATGTCCCAAAATAGTGAAGCTAATCCATAGCAAGATTCCTAAGTTGATTCACCACCTTCAGGTACTATACTCTAGTAGTGTCAAGTAATCTTTTTTTTTTTTTGCCAATTAAGGCATTGAATTACTGTGGGTGTGCTTTTATGCAGAAGCTTGATTATTGTGAACATAAACTTGAGTGGGGAAATAAAATTGGTCAAAGTTAGATCGTGGTGGTTTTTCATATAACTTGTGTTGGCATCAAGTTCGCTTGGCTGATTTTATTCCTCTCTTTGTGATGATACTGGCTCTTTACTACAAATAATCTGATGGGCAGTTTTAAATTCACAACTGGCTTTTTTTTATGAGGAAGAGTGGGAAACAGACTGATTAATACCATTAACAGATCAGTATTTAGTTTTGTTAGTATAGAAATCCTAGTTGGGTTTTTGCTGATTGCTGATCCCTATTAGGTGATGGTTGGTTTGAGGGTATTTCTTCCATTTAGTTTTATTTATGTTTTTAATGTGAAACCAAAAAGAGTTCCTTATCCCTTCAATATCATTTCCCTGTTTTGATTTTTTTTACTTCTAACATCTTAGGAATCTTAGATTAAATCTTATTACACTTGATGCAGATTACTTAATACTGGATTTAGTTTCAGTAAAGCTAAAATTAGGCTGGCTAGAAAACTTGGTTTTCAACCTAAAGCACATTTTTTAAGAGTTGGTAGGTTTGAATCAAGTTTGATCTTTAATATTTCTAGACTTGATTTTAAGTTTGGACACTGGCTCGAGTTTAAGGTTGAAAAACTCAATGGGCTGATTTTTTAAAATTTTTTGAAGTTTGTCACGAGCTCAAACTGAGCCCAAACATTTTTCATGGATGAACAAGTAGATGTTGAGTAGTCTGGCACTAAGTTTGGCTGATTTCACTCATAAACCTAAGTATTGAAAGGTTTAACATTTTGGCACCTAATCCAATTGCAAAGTGCACACTGTTTGGTAATAGCAAACATAGCAAGGATATGAATTACACGCCACTTTTCTTGTCCATGAACCCTTCATGATTTATGTGCTAACATAACATCTCCACTCACAGAAAAACAAAATTGTAAGTCTAAAGGTTGATTTTATACCTTCACTGCATTGTTGACCACTTATTACCTTGCCCCATCTTTTCTGATTCTTATTTATGCCATTCTTGCTGATGTTAGAGCTGTAATTTGCTTGCAATTAAAGATCTGTTTTTCCATCCTAATCTGACATCTTTCTTGTCATTTTCCAGCAGTTAAAACAGTGATCAAGAAACTTTTGGCTGCTTACTTCTTAATATCATATGGGCTGCTCATTGTCCATTTTTGATGTATGTGCATTGTACTGCTGTTAACACCTAACTCAGTAGGATGAAAACATTTCTTTTACATGCATCTCTGGTTAAGAATTGGAATATAGATTGTATCATGAAACCTCTCAATTAGCTAGTCTTTGGATTTTCAATATTTAAGATCAAAATTGCCAGACAATATTTTTTTTTGAATGTTCTGAAATTCAAAATATTGACTTGTATTTGCTATTTTTCTCAATATCAAGGTCAAACAGTTGAATACATTGTTTGAACTCACTGATATGGATTTAATACGCGAACTTACAATGTGATCAAACAACAATGCATCATGCAACCAAACACTATTGTGAGCTTCTTGGTGCCTATTAGAAATTGTTCAATTGTAGATCATGAAATTCAAATGCTAGCATTTGTTATATAAATAGTTTCATTTTCATCATTAATTTGATGTGCTTATTTTAGTGTTGGAATCTCATGGAAATTCCTATGTTCATACCAAAAACAATAAAAGGAAAAACTAGAATTGGCGCCCAAATTTTTTAATTTGCACTACTTATAGTTTATTCACTCCCTCCACAGTTGCTCAAATTACTATTTATCTAGCTAACAATTGTTAATTCTTGATCATAGCTAACAATTGTTAATTCGGTACTATAATCTCAAGGCAATCAACCAAGAACCAATTCAGGCAATCTACCAAGAAAGATGGATGATCTACAGGAAAAAAAATCATCAAAAAAAAATGCACCAACTCATGGTTATTCAAGCCATCTTTACCTTTTGCGAGGCCTATGCCCATAAAGTTTGGTTTTTTAATCTTGTTGCTAAGTTTCTCGGTATCCTTTTAAAGGTGGAATATATCTCACCATAGCTCGATTCTCCCAAGAACTGGGAAAGGCACAAAGTCAATCCTAAGGAGCAAAGAAGCTTCATTGTGTTTTTCTGTTAAAGTGAAGGTGCAGGTGGCTCATAAACACCTATGCTTTGGTGATTCATTCGAGAAAACTATTTTATATTTTGATGCGTTGTTGTGGTAGGTGTTGGATTCGTTGACGGCAATTTATTCGTCTGTTAATTCTACAAGGTGGAATTAGGGTTTACTTTTGACAAACAAAATAGTACGAACAAAAATTGAATATTTGGCTTGATAGACTTCACAATCTCTTATTGTATATTCTTCAACATCAAAATCTGAATGCAATGTGGGTTGTAATTTTTCAAATTTTCTCTCTTACTCTTTCTTTGTCACTCTCTAAACGTGAAGGTAAATGTTGCGGTTGAGAGAAGGAAAAAGTACCTATATTTTTAGGTTCTTTTAGAGATCCTAAGAGAATTTCAATGAGCCTAAGAATCCTATATCTAACTTAAGACAAATATCCTATAGTCTATTAATAATAAGTTAGTCAATTAAAAATTTATTATTGATCTCTTGGGTCTTATTGTAAAATGATATTTTGAGTTTTTTTGTTATTATATGTTTAATAATCTTCTAATATTTAAAATTATAGATGTCCGTCAATTAATTAAATTATTGACAATTATATTTAATTAATTTTTGTTTATCCTTGAGATCTTACAACTCAACTTATTTGTTATATCAGATAATTAAATCTACTTGTATGGTTTGACATGGACAAAATTTATAAATTTCTTCAAGAGGATATGATCAATCCATTTAAATATCGAGACGTGATTTTCTTTAATGATTAATTTCTACCATAGAAATAATGTCGTTTTCCAATTCATCGTGTTTTTTTTGATTTCAATATGAATCTTACTCTTTATGAATTAAAGTAATAATCATTATATGCATGTGTTCATTAAATATCCCATAATTAAGAATTTAAGCAATCATAATTGTTAAACAATCTAAAAAAAAATACAAAAGATAAAAAAGAGGAGGCTAGGATTTTATTTATACTGCATAATTTAATTGAATACAAGGAAGTAATTTAACCTAAATAGAAAGAGACTATACATAAGCTAAACAAGATAGGGAAAGTAAATGACTATTCTACCCTTAATAAACAAAATAATCTTATATTTCTTAACATCTCCCCTCAAACTCACGATGCAACAGCGACAAGCATCGAGAGTTTGCCAACTAGAAAACAAAAACGAGAAATAGAATGCGACTTGGTAAAGAAATCTGCAATCTGCAAAGAAGAAGAAACAAAGGGCAAAGTAATGGTGCCATGCTTGAGATAATGATGAGTAAGGTGACAATTGATCTCAATGTGCTTAGTTCGTTCATGAAAAATCAAGTTGTGAGTAATCTGAATAGAACTCCGATTGTCACAATACATAGGAGTGGGATAAGAAAGAGAAACTCCCATATCTGCAAGTAACCAACATAACCAAACAATCTCTTTGGTAGTAGATGTCGTAGCACGATATTCTGCTTCGGTTGAAGATTGAGAAATAATAGATTATTTCTTGCTCTTCCAAAAAATAAGAGAATCACCCAAAAAGATACAGAAATCAGTAACAGATTTGTGATATGTGGGATCACTGCCATGATTAGCATCAGAGTATACACATAGCTCCAAGGAAGAGGTGGATGGAAGTAAAAGACTGTACCCCGAACATATCTCAAAATACGAAGAACTGCTGCCCAATGAACTGTAGTAGGAGAAGCAACAAACTGACTAACAACATATGTAATATCTGGACGAGTAATAGTGAGATATACCAAGCTCTCAACAATAGTACGGTATAAAATAGGATCTGACAAAGGTAAACCATCAGAAGAAGAATACTTTAACCTCAATGGGAGTATCTACAGTCTTATTATCAATAAGTCTAGCTCGTTCAAGAATATCTGCAACATATTTCGATTGAGAAAGAAGATAATCTCTAGGTGAGCAGGCTACCTCAATACCCAAGAAATATCGTAGAGAACCTAAATCCTTCATTTCAAATTGTCTAGCTAACTCTGTCTTCAAAACTGAAATACCAGTAATATCATCACCAGTAATAATTATGTTATCAACATATAAAGACAGAATGATACGACCTGCATCAGTGCACTTCACAAAAAGAGCAGAATCATAACTACTAGAAGTAAACCCAAGGGAAGAGATCACAACAGAAAATTTCTCAAGCCAAACACGAGGTGCTTGTTTGAGACCATATAACGCTTTCTTGAGCTTGCAAACATACCAGAATCATGTGAAACACCAGGAGGGGGAGCCATATAAACTTCTTCTTGAATATCCCCATTCAAGAAGGCATTTTTAACATCAAGTTGAGAGATATGCCACTGATGAACCGAATCAACTGCAATAAGAGTACGAATAGTAGTCATTTTTACAACAGGAGCAAATGTCTCCTCATAATCCATACCATACTGTTGAGAGTACCCTTTTGCAACCAACCAAGCTTTGTATCGCTCAACAAATCCATCAGAATTGGTCTTGATCTTATACACCCAACGACAACCAACAACAATCTTACTAGGAGGTAGAGGAACCAAATCCCAAGTACCTGTCTTATGCAAAGCAGAAAGTTCCTTATCCATAGCTTGTTGACAAAGAGGGTCAAGAATTGCCTCTTTATAGGAAGAGGGCTCAGAGAGACAATGAATAGAAGCTAAAAAGGAAGTAAAAGATGAAGAATAACAAGAATAAGTAAAATTTGGTAACTTTATGGACTTACGAATGCATGTGGATTGACGTAAAGGTGGACCCACAATCTCAAACGAAGCT